GTATTCAAACTAATTTACAAGATCTTTGACAGTAAACGTTGGGCCTGATAAGAGATCGAGCCCAAAGCTAGTAGTACTACTGCGGATCCAAAACCAGGAAAACATGTGGAGGTTCATAAATCATACAAGCAGAACACCAATGACGGAGAGCGTGTTTGTTTTCGTTTTTAAAAACGTTTTTCACATTTTCCGATGAGTAAAAATGAAAATGCTTCACAGATTGTGTTTGGTGATCCATTTTCCCAAAATCAAAACTGAAAACACCATTTTCATTTTCTTCTTTTTTCTCATGTTTCTGAAAATGATTTTTTCCGTTTTCAGTTTTTTTGTTTTCATTTTCCACTCTTCTGCGACTGTGCCCCCCACTCTTCTTTGACTGCCCCCAACATTTTATACCGTATATAATGTTATATTAATATATTTAATATTGTTATTTATTTAATATATTATTATTTTAAATATTATTACATGTTTTTAAAAATTAAACCACTAAACACAATTTTAATTTTTTTAAAACTGAAAATAATCTCGGAATAAAACTACTAAACATATTTTCAAAAATAATTCCAAAATGAAAATGAAAACGTTTTCGTTTTCATTTTCATACAAAAAACAAAATTATTTTGGAACGAATTTCAAACACACTCAAAAAGTCCCTTCTTAGCTGGCATCTATGCAGACCTAATCCTATCTCTAGAAATGAAAGCACAGACACATCACACACTAAAACTAGTCATCTTAGAGAGAAATTAATGGCCCGTTTAGTTCGCTGATTTGAGTTAAGATGTGACTTTTTGTGATAGATTTTACTGTAGTAAAACTCAAATCGATGAAATGAACGAGACTTAAAATGTCAATTCACCACATGACCAGAAATATAGATGGCGAGTGACCGCATCTCTGTTGCTCCAAATGAGCCAAGCCAAAATGCAATTAACAAATTGACCTTCACAGAGTCATCTACTATTATAAGTTCCATAATTTTCATTTGACAGAGTTATTATAAGTTGGTTATATTCTTTCCTTTTTGTTTTCTAGTATACGCCCTCTGAAAAGTCTACTCGGAAACTTTTTTTTTTTCTCCCTGAATGCTCTTGAAGCTAATTGTGAAGGATTGCCATTGTATCAAATATCAACAAGGATTAATTTGCACAAAAACGACTAATGTAAGTTAGTAACTTAATCAACAACGACAAGTCTCTGATACTCCTCGCCGGATATGGCCGCTTCCATTATACTCTCCGGATCAATTTCTTCATTGTTATCCAAAAACACAATCTCCGGCACAGCTTTTCCGTATCCTTTCTCCGAAAACTTCCTCATTAATTATAACATCAAGTCTGTCTCCCAATTATTCGCGGAAGCCTTGTCGAACTCCATGTCGCTGAACACGAACACTCTCTTTATCATCTGCTCCTTCTTCAAGTTCCCCCTCACAGCCACTTGCAGAATCAGATCAAACACTTTCTGAAAATCTGTGTTGTTCCCCCACTCCATGTTCCTAACGAACTCGATTTTCGATTTCAGATCATTGCTTTTGATGACATGGGGCTGAGTGAAGATCCATGGAAAGGAAAGATCATCACTTTTAGTGAGAATCCTCTGCTCCATGTTATCAAAGATTCAGCGAAGTGATCGGTGATTTTCTCGTACAAAAATTGGAAATTCGAATCATTCCCGTATCGCTCGACAACCTTCTTGGCCATGGCGATTTTCTTCTCCTCTCTTAAAGCTCTGGCTTTCTATGCCGTGTTACTCCGGTTAGAATTTTTTCTATACCGAATTAATACCTTTTTTTATGTAGGATGATCTATCTCTTAAACGCTCGACAGTTTAAATTAAAGATAAAGTTTTTTTCGATTGAATTTTTTAATTTGCTCGTTGTTAATGTACTGACGTGTTTTCTCAATTTTAAATTTTAAGTGTGCATTTATCTTTTTAATAGGTTAATATTATATCAAAATAATTATTTATTAATATTTTAATGAAATGTAATTTTTCTTTTAAAAAAAATATATGTACATGTATAATATTATATCAAAATATATGTACAAATTTTTAATCTGAATATGTACAATGTGCAAATTTAATTAATGAAAACTTAATCTAATAATAAAAACACGGTGTTCCACCAATAAATTTTTTTTAAAATGGTTTTACCGTAGTGACTTCTTAAAATAAAAGGTTAACTACCATGTATAAATATTATTTTATTGTTGATGTCCCTTTGAATAAATATGTTTTAAGTCCCCGTAAAAAAATTACATGTTTTAAGTCTATTATATATGCATGTTTACGTAATGTTTACATCCACAGAAATATATATATATATATATATATATATATATATATATATATATATGCATGCATGCATTGTATTATGGTACTCTTCTTGTAGGTATTTGCCAATTATTAGATTTTAGTAAGGTCCATATAAAAATGAAACAAAGTAATAGATAAATGTTTAAGAACACTACCGGTGCTAAACACCGCTATCTAATAAAAAGTAGACTTTACTTGTGAATTCTACGTCCACTTTTTGTTAAATGATAGTGCTTAATATTATCGGTAACTTATAACATTGCTTAAAGTAATGCAATCATATATTTTCACTTTGACATATACTCTGAAAACCTCAAGTAATATAAAAACTATTCACACAAATCATAACCATAAATGCTGCAGATATTTCTTACGAAAACAAATCTCCTGTATCATAATTTTTATCGATATTTGTTTCCATTAAAGCCCCATATACCATACTTTCCATTATTCATAGCTACTCCTTACCATAAAAGCATCATGTTAGATGTATCATAACTAGTGTAGATATTTACTACCATAAAAGCTTTATATATGAAAATTTTCTGTACTTGTTCTTAATCATAAATGCCTTAAATATTTGCTACTATAAATACTTGTGTCTCATTATCTTTATAGATATTCTTTACTATAAAATGCCTCATGTATCATATTTTTCATAGCTATTCTTTTCCATTAAAGCTTCCTCTATCATAATTTCCATAGCTATATGTCATAAAAGCTTGTGCATATATCAGTTTTTTCCTTACCAATTTTGTATAATTTTATTGTAAAATTGTTCTCCTCTTTAATTTACTTTTTAAATATACCACTGGAAAGTTTCATATTCTACTTAGGAAAGTTTAATACCTTTTTAATATTCGAGTTAAACACATTATTTTCTTTTTTAATATTTTGTTTAAAAATATGATTAATCTCATTGGTGTCCCTTAAACTTTGAGATCATTTCTATTTTACTTTATAAACTTTAAAAACTCCCACTTTGCCCTTATGAACTTTGAATTATTCCAATTTAATCCATTATGTTGTAATTTTTGTCAAAAACAGATAGAAAAAAAGAAAGTAATGTAATTACGCAGTCTTTCTGTTTGAATTTCTATTAAAAATAAACATATAAAAATCACATGAACACACTTAACCTCCATTTTTTTATCTCTTTTTAAAAGAAATTATAACATAAGAGGTTAGATGGGAATAATTTAAAATTTAAAGGGTGAAGTGAGAGTTTTTAAAATTTAAAAGACAAATTTATAATGATCCTAAAGTTAAGGGGATCGATATTAATAATCATTAAAAGTAATAACTTTGCTTTATGTTTCCATTGAGCGAGCTTTTTAATTATAAAGGGAAGTTCATGTCATACACTTGGCATATTATTTACCGGCAAATGGCAATGTAAAATTGGTAAACCTGATCTTAATGTTCTTTTATTTATTTATTTATTATTATTATTATCACCTATCTCCCTGAATTTTTGGGTCACCCTCACTTTGCCTCATAAACTTCAAAACTCCTCATTTTACTACACTAAACTTTCATAAACTTCTACTTTGCCCCATCCGTCCCAATTTATGTTCAAAAGATACAGAAAACGTCTCACGTGCATAGTGTTTGAGGGTAAAATCATAAATGAATTTTTAGTGATTTACACTTATACCTCCTGAACTTTGAAGTCACCCTTACTTTACCCTCTAAACTTTAAAGTCATACCCATTTTGCCCCCTGAACTTTTTCATAGCTCTCACTGTACTACTCATAACTTTGAATCTTTCTCACTTTGCTCTAAGATTGGTACTCACTCACTCGCCTCCATAGTAATCCGATCACTTAATATGATTTTTCTTCTTTTTTCTAATCTTCTAAACACGGGTTAATGTCCTTTTTATTATTTTTGTATTCTATTTGAATTATTTTCATTGATTTGATTTATAGTAAGACATAGTAGTACTTAGATTTTGCAGAAATGTCGATATCGGGAAAAGTTAACCTAAAATATACAAATACATCCTAAAACACTTTATCGGCTTCCTGCTAATATCTCTAAAAAATTTCCGCAAAATATTTTGTCACTTAATACTACACTTTTTAAAATGAGAGAAATTCAAAGTTTGAAGTAATATGGAGGGAACAAAAGTTCAGAAAAGAGTAGAGGCGACCTTAAAGTTTAAGGGGCAAAGTATGGGTGACTTTAAAGTTTATGGGACAAAATGAGGGCGACTCTAAAATTTAGGAGGTAAAGTGGGAGTAACTCTAAAATTCGGGGAGCATAGGTGCAAATCACCAAAATTCAATTATGATTTTACCCTCAAACACCATGCACGTGCGTGCACGTGAGACATTTTCCGTCTCTTTTAAACGGAAATTGAGACGAAAAGGGAAGTTTAGGGCAGTAAAGTAGAGATTTTTACAGTGTAGAGAACAAAGTGAGAGTGATCCTAAAATTCAAAGGGCATATGTGATAATAATCCCTTTTTTCTTTCAAATAATGGAAACCACCATAATATATGACACATTCAAGAATGCAAATATAACAAGGGAGGAGAAACTAACAAGAAAGCTTGTGCTCGTAGAGCATAAGAAGTCGACCACAGATATCCTTAATTCTTAAATTTCAACTTTAGTAGAAAAGTTTCACACTTTTTTCTTACACCAGAAACTAGTTCATATTCATACATTTAGAAAAACAAAAATAGTAGCTCATTTATTGATGTGTTAGCGTAACGGCAGGTGTATACGTTCTTATTTATGCTGACATGTCCTTGCGTTGCACCTACAATGGGGATCCTATTGTGTGTGGTCCATCACAGTTCACGATAGAATTTGCAACCACTTGTAACGTCCCACACAATCTACCCTGATCTTTTAAGGAACTTACTAAAGGAATCAGGGCTAGTGATGGAATTTATGAGCTCACAAAATGGTCATGCAAAAAGAAATCTGCGAAACAATGGAAAACAGACGAGGGGATTTTAGAGAGAGAGAGAGAGGCAAACGCACAGAAGACCAATAAACCCATTTACATTTCAGTCTCTATGTACAAAACGGAGAATTCCAACTAGAGAAATGCTAACATCACTCTTTTTATCACTCTCTTCATCACTCTCTGCATTTATTGTTTAACACGTGGATTCCACTAACGTAATATATTATTATTAAAACAAAAAATAAGACGGTGAAATCCACGTGTCAAACTGTGAAAGAGAGTGACAAAAAGAGTGATGTTAGTATTTCTCCTCCACCTAATTATGACTAATAAAACTGCACAAGCACAATGAGAACGGATATACAAGCAAACCAAAATGACAAGAAAGTGGATATATATAATAGAAAATGAGAACAAGCTAAGCAACAAACAATGAGAACAACATTAACCTTAAAAGAGCCAAAAACCGAAAACGACATTCACATAAACAAAGTAATGCAGAAACAGAAATTTATATTTACTAAAATCAAAACAACATGAGCTCATCTAACAAGATTGACGTAGAGAGTGTATAAAAATGGAAATTCAATTTCAATATCAAGGTAAACGAAGTTCAAACCCCCAATAAACAAAGTTTGGATTCTCAGGAGCAAAGTTCGGAAGAAACGAGACAATTCATCATCAAGCAACTAGCTATGAAAAGAAAACATTGGGCCTATATCTACCTGCTGCTAACACAACAAAAGCGCAGCAGCGTTCAAGGAAAAGTAAACAAAGACAAAGGGAACTAAAAGACACTAAGCAACAAAGACGAAAGAAACTAACATAAACAACAAGTGTTTTAGCATATCATTAACAAAGACACTAAGGGAACTAAGCATCAAGCAAAAACAAAGGTGATGTCCCTGCATCAGTGCCCTGCTCTTCGAAAGCATTCGACCTCGAATGTTCAAGAAATGCAGGTATGCAATCCAGGAGGGAGTACTCAGACAGGTTCAACACATTAAATCAAGGGTATATAAGCATTGTCGTTAATATTATTTTTTCTTTTTTAAGGTGAAATGGACCAAATGTCCTCAACTCCATTTTGCTTTCATCAAGGAACTTAAAGCCAACAATGTCAAAATGCTCAGTCGGTTTGAGAGCACCTTCTTCCACTAAAATCACATTGCTTTCCTCTATATACCTAGAGCTTACAAACAGTTTTACATTGATTGCAATATATATAACACTGGTTGTCACATACACAATCTACCTTAACTACATTCCCATTGCTGACCTGAAGAAATAAACCCCTTTTAGAAATCACATCATTTGGGCTTTCCTTTAAAGTTTTCAATTGGCTCAAAATTATCCTACCAATAGGAAACTTGCACACAACTCAGAATTTACAATAACCAGCAAAAAACGAAGACAAAAGAAACTAATCCAAAAGACAAGTCATGTAGCATATTATTAATAACCACGCAAAAAGGAACTAAACACGAAGCAAAGCCAGAGTTGATGCTGCTACATACAACAAGAATACTGAAACGACACAGAATTAGAGGAAATTGCAAAGATCACCTCATAAGAAACGCAATTAATTCGGTCACTAATAAAGCAAGAAGTGTTTATTTTATTCGATCAATATTTCATCAACCGCCTCTTTCATTACTGATTTCTCCAGAAAAAACACTTTGATCAAACGAGAGACAAGAAAACATCTTTGGCTAGGATCAAAAGGAACAATCTCAGATAGATCACGACCAAATTTCGGGTGATCTCATGGTGAACATAATCAGCCAGAATCGCTTCGATCCCTTCATTTATGTGACAGAACAAAGCCAGATTTGGTAGGAGAGTGAAAGAGATCACCTTCTTCGCGGTGCCGAATCGCTTCCCCTTTGCCTCAATCTCCCTCGGCACCGCCGATCCAACCGTAGTAGTACTGAATCCTCTCAATCCAAAGGTGTTAAAAGCTAGGGTTTGAGGATGATGCCTGTGGAGCGAAAACGCCGCCGTAGAGAAGCCTTCCCTGTCGTTCTTTCCCGCGCCTCGGAGATTTGACATACGGTAGAGAATGGTCAGCGGGTGGTGGGCCCAGGGCTGAGAGGGCCGGTCGGTCAGCAAATCGGAGGGAGCGTGGCCGTTAATGACGGCGGAGTTGGGTTGTTGGGGCGGTTGAGTGGTGGTCGGACGGTGAAGCTCCGACAGTCCGAGGAGCCTCGGAGTAGAACGAGGAGGAATCACTGGTCGCAATGATCTGCAAATTGAACTTGTCATCGTTCTTCTTCTTCTTTTTTTCAAATTAAAGAAATGAAATGGAAAAGAGGGAAAAAGGAGTGAGGGGAGCTCGACAATGATGGATAGATGTAAGCAGACGTGGCTTGTGAAAGATGCAGGTACAATAAGCCGTATTTAAAATTAATGTCGTTTTTATTTGTCACGTTAAAAAAAATAAAAACGTTTTTAAAATGAGTTTTGGTATAATAAAGATAAAAATTAAAAATAAAAATAATTTTTTAATTTAATATAAAATAAAAAAATAAAAAATTAAAAATATTTTTATTTTTATTTTTATATAAAAAATAAAATCATTTTATAATGAATTCGCTCGTATGTTCCGATGACGAAGATGGGCTTGGTGGGTCTCGGTACGTGAAGCAGAAGGATGAGGTCGGCATGGCTGATTTGTAAGTAGGGTCAAAAGTTGAGTTCACGATGGCACCATGGAGTTATTGGGCTTGTGATAACACCACCATGGCTTATTGGATGAGCTTCACCTTGCAGCAACATAGGCTCACAACAACAAGAGAGTCAGCTTGCAAGGGGTGTTCTTCTTTCTTCTTTTTTTTCTTTCTTTCTTTTTTTTTTTTTCTTCTGAATGCATGTAAAAGAGGAGACCAAATTTTTTTTTATATTTTTTAAATGTCTATTTAAAGTTTCTTTTATTTTACCGATTCGAGTTTAGAATTTGAGTTTTATTACAGTAAAAAATTTTCAAAAACAATCACATCTAACTTTTTTATTATAATAAAAAATCTCACATAAAATCACATCTCAACTCAAATTAAAAACTTAAATCAGCAAACTAAACTATCCTAAAAAACTTCTAACTATTCACATGTGCGCCTCATGTAGTTTAAAAAAGCGTGAGGCTTTAAACAGTGGTTGCCTTTTTTAGTTTTATTGTACCTTTTAAAAAGTTTGAAGAGTTATTTAAAAAAAAAAAGAATGTGGTCCCATTGCAACTTCATAAAAAGTTTGGGGACAAATTTGACAATTTACCTAAAAAAAATGAAATGGGATGCTCTAAAAGTGTATGTGGGTATAACTTTTTTGGGAAATAGTATAAAATAAGTCAATATGAAAAGTTTAAGAAAGTATATAAGTCAATTTTTAGTTATAGAAATTAATAGGCCATAACTTGTCAAGTTATGGTATATAACCAGATAAGTTATTGACAAACTTGTCAAGTTATGGTTCATAACCAGACAAGTTATGGACAATAACTTTTTGTTAAGTTATGGTTCATAACTAGACAAGTTATGGACGAAAACAGTAATTTGACCTATTTATTAACTTATGTAAACTATTGGCCTATTAATTTTAATTCATCTCAAATCTTGACATATTTTCCTCTTTCTCTCAACTTTTTTCTCAATTTATTTATGGGATTGGATTTGTGTCATTTATCATGCTTTAACCAGCCACTAGAATGGCCAAATCATTTTTTCCTTTATTTTTATTTTAATTCAAATAGATGAAACCTTAACTTTTAGTCACATATCTTTATCTCTCTTTTTCTTCCTCTCTCTCGCTCTGCATCCTTCACGCCATTGGAGCTCATTGAGATAGCTGGTCCATCACCGCCGAAGCTCGTACACAACGGTGTGTCGCTCCATACCCATGGAGGTAAATGTATCTCCATGGATCTTCATAGATTACCGTTGGTAATCTAGCACACAAAATAATAATAACTCAAAAAGGATGACCTAGTAGGGGCAATTGTCCCCTTGGTCCAAAGGCCTCCCATGAACTTTAACCACAAATACTCCATAAAAGTACACGTATCAAAATTTTTACTATTTATTCTTGATTCATAACCTTTTTAGTTAAATAATTACACTAATAAAAGGGTATTTATCAAGAGTAAGAGGTAAAAGTCTAGACTCATGCACTCTTAAAGATAAATTTTCTATTTTTTCTTAACCCCGTAACCTCATTTTGTGTTACTATTTCTCTTTCAATTTCCCCCTATAAGTTTTAATTACCAATTTTTATATTGAAAGTTTTACGGTTTTCATTTTGGCACAAATTTGACCTTTTAAGTATACTCATAGTTTATAATCTTTCAAATGTTTCGATTAGATCTCAAATTTGACTTCTACACATACTCATAGTTTAATTTAAAATTTCGAATAAAGCAAAAATTAACTACTCTACTATTTAAATTTTGCAGACTTTAAATATTAAAAAGTAAATTGAACTCAATTGTATAAGTTTGATTCATTTGGAAAAAGAAAGGAAAAATACAAATATATCGTAAGAATTCATAAGAGAAGTTAAAAATAAAAGGAAGAAAAAAAAAGATAGTTGCTCTGCATATTAGTTTAGTTCAAAATTTTAGCTTATCCACAATCCCTTGAAATAAAAGTTTTTTAAAAAATAAAAATAAAAATCTCAAACTATTATGATAAATGTTAGGGTCATTTATTACATTACTCTCCTTCTCATTCTCTTACTTCTTCTTCTGCCACATGTCATCCTACTTCCCCATAAAAATAAAACATAATTATAAATTATTGTTTAACCTCATAATTACTATAATGCCACTCGTTAATATTATAAAATCCTATATCACACTTCCTCATGATATATCACTTTTTTTTTATTTTTTTTTTATGTACGTTGTTACTTTTATTTCATTTTTTATCTTTTTTCTTTCTCTTTGAATGCCGCTCGAATTAGAATCCATTTCAAAAATATATATAATGTGTTGTGAATGTTAAGAAAATAACTTATATACATATATATATATAGTATTATATATAATATATATTATAATTACATATATTCATATAACGTTTTATTTTTATAACTATATATCGATATATATATATATATTAATGGATCTTGCAAAAATATTGGCCTAATGTTATACATATTTTTTCTAACTCTATTTAACTTCTGTTGGGATCTAAAAATAGACGAGAAAAAGGAAAAAAGAATAAAAAAGTAAAAATGTATATTATTATGATAGAATATAATTAGAGTGGTATAATTGTAATTAAGAGGTAAAATAATGGTCTATTGTTATACTTTATTTTTATCAGAATGTGGAATGACAAGTGGCCAAAAAGAAAAGTAAGAGAGTGAGTGATAAAACAAGTGACCTTAGCATTTTTTAAGTATTATTAGTGTAAAATTTTATTTTTAAGTCGACAAATCCACAAAATTCACTCGATAACGTCAATATTCACACATTTATCAAACGAAAGTGAAGACCCACATTGATTGCACTAAAATATCTAACAGCATATCGAGGAGTTCTGGAGACCAGAGTCCTAATTTATTATAATGTAGACATATATAACACAAATATATATAATTATTCTCTGTGTGTGTCTATATATCTATATATATATATATGTATGTATGTATGTGTGTATAACCAGATTGTATCTAGTGGGCTAACCGCAACAGTGATCCAGCCAACAGCAGCAGCAAAGGGTAGCCAAACTGCAAGATAAGTCAACGAGATAATTAACTGCATCAAGAGAGGTCAAACAAATTCACATGATAATTTACAAGGAAAATCTAAATAGAGAATTAATTGACTACAATTAGCAGAATCGAACTGAATTAAGACAGGTTAATTATGGCTTCAATATATAATAGTGTCTTTCTCCTCTCCAAAAAAATCATTCCTTAAATCTTAAGTAACAATGGGATTTCTTTAATTCTTGGTCTCTTCTTTGGTTTCTAAAGGACGAAAAGCAACAAATTTACCTATAAATCTTCGAGAAGGGATGAGAAAAATTTTGTCATCTGAGCCTTTCGATGCTAAAGTGAACTTACAATGAACCGTTAAATGTGTTCTCTTAGTTAATAGTACGTAATGTTGGGAAAAATTTGCCTAAAATCCAATTAACGAACCAAAAATAAAAGTACAAAATCACATGAAAGATTTTCTAAAGATTCAATAATTTAGCTACATCCTGTTTTTATCGCTGCAAATTCCACTAATCAATTAAACAAATTATTTATAAAGAAACTCACACTCAAAAGATGTTTCCTAGCCTCACACTCCAATTTTCTCTCAGAAAATTCGTGATAAATAAATCTCCTAACGTAAGTATTTATAGAACCCCAAAACAAGTGAAAAAACCCCAAAAATAGGCCCAAAGCCGACCTAGGCTGACTTGGTACACGCCCTCCGCGGGCGCCGTGGCGCCCATCCCTTGGCACTGCAGCGCTACTTTGAATCAGCCCATGCGCGCTGGTACTGTGTGGCGCCCAGCGGACCTCTTCCGGAGCACCACGGCGCTGGCCTGCAACACAAGGCTACTGTGCAGCCTTCCTAGCACCATTTTCTCCACTTTTTCCTCCGTACATGAGTAGGCTCTATCTTCAACACGTAATATATTATAACTAACATGTTTATTTTGATTAGAAAATGTATTCGCATCGAAGAAATCACATTACAATTTTTCGATATTTAGGAGAAAATACTGACGACATACATATGATATATATATCCTACTACATAATTTCCCTAAAATATAATCTAGATTTCCAACTTGTTCTATGTGAAATAATTCAGTGGTTATTCAAACTATGAGATTTTAGCTCATTTCGAAGTTATTAGAATATTTTTTACACTGTATGGTTTGCTTTTCTACGTTGTATAGAGAGAAAGTTGGGAATCCCTTTATTTTTTGCTTACTCACCTTGTTAAATTTTGATATCACATTAACTATATGAATAAGGTTTTACCTTGTAACTTTACCAGCAAAAAAAAAAAAAAAAGGTTTACCATGTAACAGGTAATGGTAATTCCATAGGAGAAAGACAAAGACCACATACCAGGCCTTAAGGAATGAGCAGCATGCGGGTTGGGAATCGTCGTCGTCATCATCGTCTGGCGGTGGAGGCGGCGGGACTGATCGAGAAGGCGGTGCTGATGGTGGTGGTGGGCGAATGCCTTCATCAAGGTAACCCTGATAGGTCGGTGGCGGAGGGGGACGCGTTTGGTCAACTGATTGGGGCGTCACCCAAACTAAAACAAGCAACAATAGAAACACACTACGAAATTAGGTAGTTTCATTGTTTTAGTACACTAGACTAGATGAGATTGTTATTATTTGTTACCAAACAAATGCAAATAGACAATACAACTCGCCTGCTTGTCTGTAATCCTCCTGAGGAGGAGGAACAGGTTGGTAGCTCATTTTGGTTGCTTGGATTTAGTGAACAAAATTGCCCTGGAATATGGGATATATTGGAATAGCTTCAGCTTTGCCACTTTCTTTTTCTTTAAAGCTGTACGGGATAGTTTTGGGACGCCCAAGTCCCTACCAATTTTAAAGTCTCAACTACAATAGTACCATTATTTTGCCTACATAAGGCTACAGCTGGTAACCCTAATTATGTCATGGCCAAAAAAGAAAAAGAAAGGTAAGCCTCCTCATGTCTAACTTTTTCTTTTTCTTTTTCTTTTTCTTTTTTCAAAAAGCAAAAAAATAAATAAAATAAAAGGACCCATATGTTGATGCGTTCAGTGGCTATGTAATAAAAATTGATCTTTCCTTCCAAAAATTCAATATTATTCTCGATTTCAAGCTTTTCATTCAGTTTTTGGTAATCCTTGATTGCACTTATTGCTTTTTTGTTTGCATCACAACAAAATAAAAAAAGAATTCCACCACGGACCACATTGATGTTCATAAACTTGCGTTTGATATGTATGACCTGACAATAGATATTTGCTAGAAAGTTATTATTGTATAAGCTATATCTGATTCTGAGTGAAACAAAGGACAAACAAGAGTCTATACTCGGGACCGATTTTAAATTGTATTTCAGCGTGGGCACTAATAAGAAGTTCGGACCACATTGATGTCTATTAACTTGAGTTTGATCTAAGTTGAGAATTGAAATTTGTTAGAAATATTATTGTATATTGCTTAATATTTGATTCTGAGTGAACAAAGGACAAACATGCATGTATTCGGGACGAATTTAGAATTTTATTTCAGTGTGGGCATTAATAAGAAGTATTTTTCTTTAATCCTTATCATTGTCATTTTCTCTTAACAAATCTTTTCCTTAATATTTTACATAAGCACGTCAAAACAAATTATTAAATAACTTATTTAATGTAATATAATATTAACACTACATTATGGCAACACCTACTATATTATGTGTTTCAAAATGAAACATCAAAACATCAGAAATAAAATGTAAAATTTAAAGATCAAAACTAATTCCCCAAGAAGAAGTAAAATTTACATCACAAACATGTTCTATAAAAATTGTATGAGTTCTTAAAACCAATAAATCTCTAAAAACAATCAAAACTTTTGATAAAATTAAAGAGAAAGAAAGTTGATATTAATTAAACCAAAATTAAATAATAGCTAAGATTATTCAGAAAAAATGGTGATTAGTAGTTAAATAACTCAAATTATTAATAAGATGGATTAAGATAAATAAATAAAAAGAGTCACATTTGAGAAAATAGTATTTTCTGGGAGGTTTGTTTAAATAACTGAATAAATTTATAAATTAAATTATAATGTTCTAAAAAATTATGGGGCAGAAGTCTAACCCCACGTAGCTCCACGGGTGTCTACACCCAACAGAGATATTTTTTGAAAAAAAATATATATATATATTTTCATATAGTTGCTCAAAAGTGTTGGACATATTCTTTTAATAACTCAAATCACAATTCAAACTTTTTTATTATAATATTTTTTCTCACAAAAATTTAAATTTACTTTCTTTTACTATAATATTTTTTCACACATAAAATTTATTTTACAATTCAAGTTATCCACTTAATTATGAAAATGATATGCAATGTCCCAGAAGAATTACTAGTACACACAGGTGCCTAAAACCTTACGACACAAGCAACTTGAGTGTTTATAAAAAACGATGACTTCTACATCCCTAAAAAGATGACAAATAATTAATAATTTTCTATGTCCTTGTCCCTTTGCGGACATATTAGATAAGATAAAAAATTATTGGTTCTATATTCAGCAATAAAAAAAAAAAAAAAAAAGAGTAGCTCGACCTCGAAGCTTCTTCATCGCTTCCGTGATTACATTTGACAACCACCTGTCAACAAAGCAAAAAATAAAAAATAAAATCAATGAAATTCAAATTTTATCCCAAGTAAGGTTCATTTGGTAGATGAATTCTAAATTATAATTTTAAATTTTAGTTCAAAATCAGTATTTATTTACGGTGATTTTAAATTATGATTTTAAATCATAATTCAGAATCAATATTTAGTGTTTGGATGATTCTGAATCATTATTCTGAATCAGAATTTAAGAGACGTTTAGTTCATAGATTAGAATCATGTGATTAGAACTATTTTGGGTTTATGTGTATTTTTTGTGAGAGAAAACACTGTAGCAAATCATAGTTTGAATCATCCAACCAAACATCCCCTTATAGTGTTTGGATGATTTTGAATCATGATTCAAAATCTGATGTGATGTTTTAAACTAGAATTACTCATGATTTTAAAACCACCACCCTCTTAATTTAAAGTAATTCAAACTTTTAATTTTAAATCATAATTTCAAAATCATAATTTAAACTCAAAATCATGAATTATAATTTTAATTTCAAAATTATAATTAAAATTACTCTAATTTAAATCCGCAAACCAAACTAACCCTCAATAATACACCTAATCCACTTGGTGCCTCTTTCTAGTTTCTGGATATATCCTTCGTTGCCAAAAAAAATAAAAAAATAAAAACAGAACAACCAAGTATTACTATCAACAATAACTCCATTAATCCTTTAATATTTTTTCCATAAAATCCCATCATTTAAACTTCAAAATCAAACTATCTTTCTGAAAATCTAAACCATCTTTTCTTCGATTGAGTTGATTAACCATGAGCGGAACAGAGTCTCTCGTGCCTGCTTCCTCATCTGGAGAATCCCAGGAGGAAGCCAAGAAATGGGGGACCCACGTGATGGGAGCGCCTGCGGCCCCCACCGTGCACCTCGACAACCAGAAGGCGGCGCTGTGGAACGCCGGCGACCACCACCAGCCGTACGTGCAGTACGCGCCGGTGGAGAAGCCGACGACCAACCCCCTTGAGCCAGTCATCGACCTCTTCAACTCATGGAGCGCCAAGGCAGAGAACATCGCCCGCAACATCTGGCACAACCGTATGTACATGTTCATCTGCGTTCTAGATAATTGACGTTACCCTTATTCTATTCATGATCATATTTTGTCGTTTCACATTTGGAATTAGTTCCTTGCTGCCTTTGTGCTGTATTGTCGTTCTCCTAACTCGGTGCCGTTTTACAATTATCGTCGTCTATTTTTGTTAATAATAATAATAATAATAATACGAAGAAATAACTATAAAGCTATCTCATCTTCTCTTTTTTCCTTTTCATGGATTTATCGTTTGATAATTTGTTAGATGCTCCTACGGTCCTACCGATTTACGTAATATGCCCTGTGAATGTGATGATATATATCTTTTTTTGTCGTTTAATAAATATTTGTAACCACTGTCGCTTTCAATTGGTGTCATCTCTTATTGGTGTCGTTTTTTGATGCGGTAATTTTTGAGAATGCCGTTTTCTGTCGTCATTTACTGTAATGTTTTGTTGTGCGTATTTTAGAAGAACAAAGCTTCTTTTCTTCTTATTCCTGGTTTCGTCATTTGGTAATTATATATAACGTGCTATCTTGTATGTTGTCGTTTTATATGTATAATGTATTTCGAAATGGAAATGCAGTGAAATCTGGACCGTCGGTTACGGAGGCTGCTTGGGGAAAGGTGAATCTGACGGCGAAAGCAATAACAAAAGGGGGATTTGAGTCGTTGTTCAAGCAGATATTTGAAAGCAGTGATCCGAATGAGAAGCTGAAGAAGACTTTTGCTTGTTACCTTTCCACTGCTACAGGCCCTGTCGCCGGAACTCTCTACTTATCCACCGCTCGACTTGCTTTTTGCAGTGATCGACCTCTCTACTTCACTGCTCCTTCTGGACAAGGAGCTTGGAGCTACTACAAGGTATGTATCTTTGTTACATCGTATAAAAACTAATGTTAATAATTACCCCACTTTCTAAATAGTTTAATTATTTTTTAGATTAATAGTTGTAAACTAACGTGCTATTGCTGTGGAATTTCTTGAACTCGAACTATAATAACGGATACTTATGTTCCTATCTAATGAAAAGTTCGCCGGTACTTTTAATATTGTGCCAGTATTAAAACAATTTAAACTCCTGTAAGCACTCTCTAAAATTAAGCTATCATATAATCTGCTAAGGTGGGAGTGATGATATATATATATATATATATATAAAATATGTGATCTTATATTATTGCGTTGTGTATTTGACATGAAAGTGTGGGTTGACCTGCAGGTTCTGATACCACTAGGGAATATAGCGACGGTGAATCCAGTGACAAGGACAGAAAATCCACCAGAGAAGTATATCCAGATTGTTACCTCGGATGGGCATGAGTTCTGGTTCATGGGATTTGTTAGTTTCGAGAAAGCGTCTCATCACCTTCTAAACGCTGTATCAGATTTCAAAGCAGGCCATGGGAATAACGTTGCCGCGCAATCAATCAATCTCTAGAACTACTCTTCATGATATCTTTCGAGTTTTAGATATATGTATTGATCATGTATAGAAGACACGATTTTAAGTGGTGTTTTGTATTTATTGTTGTAAAAAAAGTTTGTAATTTTCCCTTCTCCTTTTCTATGTAATGTCTCTTGCGATTTTGTACCGAACCTGTATGCTTGTTTGTTTAATTTTTCTCGTGAAGTTTAGCACACTTTTTCCTGGTCTGTTGAACACATGATACATCTTGATCTTTCTTCTTCTTACTGAAAATGAGGTCGAAAGAATTGTAAATTTTGTTAAAAACTGAGAGAGAGAGAGAAATCTGAGAAACGACACCGACCGTGAAACAACACCAATCTGACAAACGACACCAGCTATTAAACGAAGGATGAGAGAAAAATATATAGAGCAAAAATAACAAAAACGACTAGGACGAAAAATGACAACCTAAATATGCATCAAATAGAAACAAAATTTCAAAAAACAAAAAAAATAGAAACAGAAAAGAAATTTGAAAAACGACAAGATTTAAAATAAGCTCCGAAACTAAAATACGGCAGTAAGTCCGCGCCGAGTTTCAAGAATTCTGTCGCGCAAACTAAAATACGGCATTGAGTGGGTGCCGAATTATAAGGTTTTGTTTCTTTTAGGAACTCGAATTATATTAGTTTGAGGAAAAGTTGCATTTATAACGAGCAATCCTAACAAAAACATTGACAAGTACCCAGTAAATATATCTATTTTATTAATAAAAAATGTTTCACAAATTTCTTTTTCAAATCCTATAAAATGAAAAAAAAAGAAAAACAAATTCAGTAAATTATTGAAAAAACCGACAAAATATTAAAAGACATCAGCCTACACGACAATTGGAATGACTTCTAGTTGATGGAATTTGTTAATTTTTAGAAAAAAACATATTTCTTGTTCTTTCTAAGAATGAAGTCAAGGAAGAGCCGGAAGTAATTTGGGGAAGAAAGGGAATGGTGCTAAAGTAACCAAACAAACCAAAGCCCATTCGACAAAAGGATGAAAGTATGCTTTGGACTTCTTTTTCCTTCAAGCCTTGAGAAACTTGCACGTCTACCACTTTAATTTGTATCAATTGCCATTTTCATAAAAAGATTTTAGCTCAAATAATACATAAGAAAACTAACTTGCCTTTAGAAGTGATGCTGAGCGTGTGTTTGGTGATTCAAACTACCCACTACACATATTATAACAGAAATCATCCTCTTTTTTTTTTTAACTATATTTGTTGCAGGGCTTTCTCCGGTAATTAAACAAAAAATATCATTCTATTCATGCATTTTGTTTCTAATCTTTTGAATAATTGTTTTTTTTTTTATAATTTTTTTAAAAGTATTTCTTGATCAAAGTCAGTTTTGATTAGTATTTTATAAGAGCTCTAATCTTCCATTACGCATCATGATGCCATATGTTAATTTTCTGTTACATAAATAACGGATATCTCAAATTTGTTAAGCCTATATATACTGGGAACTGTAGCCTTATAACTAAAAACAACAAAATTATTGTGATAAAATATAAAAGTTACACTAACTAGCATTTGGAAAACATATATTACATATTTGAAGGAATAGAAAAGATAATAATTAACATTGACAAGAACAGGCCAATCGAAAAAGTCAATAATAAAAACTTCTCTACAACATAATCTGGTTTCCGAGAAAGAGAAAAAGAAGAGAGGAGAAAGCTGTCAAAAAGATGCAAATTGAAAGAAGACACAAACTCAGTGTTAGAGGAAGAAACAAACAAACAGAGATTCTCTAGGGAGGAGTAGGAGGAGGAGGACCATTCGGACCAAACAAAAGAATAAAAAGGTAAACAATAAGAGGGTTATTTTTTCCCCCCCAGTTACTCGATAGTTATAGCTTTCTTGTCATTGACCAACTGATAATTAGCTAGGGAATAGAAAGAAAGCAAGAGAGAGAAAACACAAAGAACGAGAGAGAGCTCTCTCTCTCTCTCTCTCTCTCTCTCCCTTCTCTCTCTCTCTCTGACTCTCACAATATATGAATATGATATATCGCTCGCTCTATCATCTTCTCCATCCATCTCTTTCTGCACAGTAGTACCACAGTACTGCAAACTCACTACTCACTGCCACTGCTTAGATTCCCTTCTCTTCTGCCAACCAACCAAGTGTAACACCAAAAAAAAAAAAAAACAATCCCTTTGTTTTCCACACACAGTTCTCATCTCTCTAGCTATATATCTATATGATTTTGAATCTATGTATACATGTAATGTATACATCGCAACCCTTATCAAAACGGCCTATTCTTTCTTTGTTTATTTATTTTTTGGGATAGAAATCCAAGCACCTATTCTTGGACCATTTGTGATATATATATATATATATAGTTATTTGTATTATTTATCTATGATGTATATTTCGTTTGCACGTCAAAAAGCATCTCTCTTTTCTCTCTTTGTGTCTGTGTCTCGAGCTTTCTGTATTATTATAAATGTGTGTCTGAATTTCGAATCTTTTAGGACGGAGGGCCTCACCACCCCACAGACCTAACAACTGCACCATATGTCACACCCTTCTACCTTTGCATGCACTATTATATTGCACTTCACCTTTTTCTTAAACCAGAAAAAAAATAATAATAAATTATTATTTTAAAGTATTTCGAGCTTACACACACATTGCATAAGTTGTCAATTTATGAGTTCCATTTTCCAATCATAGGGGTGCTTGTACTTTTTTTTTGCAGCATATATATATATATATATATTTCTATTTACAGCTCTACTTCAGAGAGAATGACCCGCCTTTTCCAAACAAAATATTGACCATATTGAAACGTTACAGGCTCTAGGACAAAATGAAAATGAATTATGTGTTAGTACTTGATGTCCCACTCCCACCACCATATGGAAACTTTTAATCATGAATCTTATTACAGTTAACTTATGCTAATTAAATACCGATTAATTTACTCAAATATATTACTTCCATTAATTGATCTGTAAAAATCTCCAGAACCTCTAGCACTATTTGAAGCGCAGTGATTTTCCCCTCTCTTACAACAGAAAGCTGCCGGTCAAAGAAGACTGACATGAACAATGTTTTATGTAGCAAATAGTAATACCATAGATGATAACTTTTTTGATAGGGCATAAAAGAATTCTTTATTAATATATACTGTATAGTTTTGAAGCGTCACACCGTCCCATTTCTATCAAGTTCAATTAACTTTACATATATTCTTTCTTTTATCTTTTAAAATAATCTCAAGATAAAAAGATGCACAACATAAGTGGTTTGCAAATAATGAATTAAAAAAAAAAACTAAAATGTCTTCTAAAACTGTTGAGAGTTGACGATTCTTTTCGCAAGGAATATAATATCTTGAAATTGAAAACAACTGTAAAAGAAAAAAGGAATAAAGGAATCGTTTTCACAGACATGGTGGAGAAAGTGGACGAAATTAATCAGACAAAAACAAACACTCCGCCGGTAAGCGTGTGAAATAGGCCTTTAAGTGGAGAATCATGTACGGGAATATATATGATATATATATATATACACACACACATATATATTCGCATTAGGTGTCAAAATACGATTGGCTATCACATCACAGAACAATGTTTTTCGACATGAATTTCTACAGGTACATATATAATATGGATATGACGTGAAGACCATCTTATAGATATTCTTTGTATCGACGGAGCAGATGAATTTTCCAAAGAATCTAATCATGTACTAGTACGTGTTATGCACGAATAAGAAGCTGCTAATTAAATTTCAGGCTTTGACTTTTGACCTTTGACTTTTCATCATTTCGGCTCACCTATATAAATCTACTTATAATAAATTATCTTTTCAAATCTACTTATAAATTCCTTTTATTTTTTTAAATGCTGGCCGGCCTAGTATAATGTCTCTAGTTGGTTTAGTAAATTATAAGATTTGTTTGTCCTTTATCTTTGAAGATAAATCTCCACTTAATTATTGATATGTATCTCAACTTTAAAGTTTCCAATTTCTGCTGTATCCTCTGATGGAATTAAATTCTCCTCAATAAAAAAAAAATGACATAGGTTCCTCCATTTGAGCCTTGACTTCTAAAAATTACAAAAAAAAAAAAAAAAATGAAAATTTTGGATTCACTAAAATACAAAAAATGATAACGATTTAATTATAGAAGCAAATGATGCATAACGAGATTATTCTTTTTAGAAGAAATGATATGTATGATATGATTGCAGAATTATAAAGAAAATACTTTGTTAATGATGCCGATCGCTTGACATTGAACAAAAAGGGACACTATATGTTACCTAAAAGAAAATAAAAGAAATAAACTTGTCTAGCTGATAAATTTATTCGATTTAATGGGGGGGTTTTTTTTTTCCTTAATCTAAAAGCGATTTATCTTGATAAGATGCTATTTGCTAATTTAATCTTCGAAAAAAACTTGCTTTAGAAAAAAAAATAATGATACGAAAAACTTCTTAAAAAAAGGATATAATTAATGCTAGCATCTTAGATGGGGTCTTTACTCCTTAACAAATGATCACTTTTAACGTGTCACAAAATTATATGTGGTAATACCATGTTTTAAGGCATTAATCGAGCGGTTGAACGAACATGACATCCACACACCCAATTACCCAATAGCATACGCAGCACATTATTAATACAGCAATAATAGATAAACTAATAATTTAAACATGAAAAAGAGCTAAAAAAAAAAAAAAAAAAAGGAAGCAAGGAGAACATTAACAACACGTCGCAATCATTACCAATATTATTCTTTGAACTTTCCCCCCATTGACCTCACTTCTGGCACTGTAGGACTCATCCCTGCCACTTCCATGAGCGCGCCTCATATGACCAAATGGAAAATTCAGAAAACAAACAAATAAATAAATAAATAGAGGAAAAATAGCAGTAAAAACTTTATCTCCATTAGCAAATCCACACTGAAATTTCCAAAAAGAAAGAGAAAAAAAAAAAACACAAAGGGGGTTTCCAATAAGTGGAAATTAAAATAAGAAAAAAAAGAATGGGAAAAATAAGAATAATATTGTGATGGGGATATAGCAAATTTAATTCATAGAGAGCCATTTTCGGATCGATCAAAATGGAGAAGTTGACCACAACACTTGGGGCATTCTTGGACCTGTTTTGGGACCATGAAATACATGAAACAGCTCTTGCACCCTCCCACCACCAAAACCTGCTCCTTCTGCGCCTCTCTCCTATTACTCGACTCTGACGACGATTCTTCGCTCTCGTATGAGCTATTTTCATCTTCTTCTTCTGAGTAATAATCTCCACTGTTGTAGTCTGTTGTCGTTCTTGGATCTTCTTTGGCTTTCATGCCGTTCCTCCAGTTTATGTAGTAAATCTCCCCTGTCTGCGTATTAAAACGACATGTATATTGTTGGTTAATTAATGTTCATGGAAACTACTAGGCATTAAGCAAGTCATGTACTGGAACAAAAGAATGTACCATGAGAGAAGTACCACTACTTATGTATGAAAAAAAATATAAAATAAAAAGAAGCTGATTTTCCTTTCCTTGTTTGCTTCATTTAATGCTCATCATTAATCAAGATAGAGTTTTAAGTTGTTTGATGGAAACCATGAATATTATTAACAGATGATCTAACTAGGGAAAGTTTCTTTCTTTATTGTTCAACAAATGTAGCACTTTATATATATGTAGTCAAAACGGGGAAAGCTTTTTCTTTTCTCTCTCTTTTTTTTTTCCCTTTCTTCTTCTTCTTCTTTTTCCTTTTCGTCTAAAATAAGAAATGAAAAGTGGTTCATGAAACTGAAAGTAGTTGGTTCTTTCTATAAGATTTTGTTCTTAAAAAGAAAAAAACAAACAAACCCAGAGAATTAATTACACAGTACTCAAGGATCTACCACTTGAAAGCCAAAAAAGAACAAAAAAAAGAAAGAAAACCCGTAAGAGGAAAGGGACAAAAATGAAAAAGGGATTTGGTTATAGTTTATACAAAAAGAAAGAAAGAAAGAAAGAAAGAAATACCTTTAAATCAAGGCATTGCTCCCAATGGTAAGGAAGGGAGATATGGGAGTTGAGTTCTAAGGTGGCGGTGGTGGTGGTGGAAGTGTCGGCGGCGTTTGGGAGTTGATGATTTTGCGGCGCATCATCATTATCATCATCGTGATCATCATGATGTGTGATCGGGCGGCTAGACGAGCTGCTTGATGTTGACGTGGTGGGCCTTCCTCTTACAGCTTCTCCGGCGGCGGAGTTGCTGCGGTGGTGGTGGCGGTGGTGGTGGTGGTGGTGGTTAAGAGAGCAGTTCTGCATAGACCTCTCTAATGATGCTGTGATCGCCGCCATATTTGGAGCTGCCATATTGTTATAATATATGTTATGTATATATTCAAACTAAAACAAATATATGTCTCACAAATTTACTAGTACTAGTGATTAAGAAGGACTTGTATTATACATGGAAACCCCAGGACCCAACCAAAAAAAAAAAAATGAACGAGGAAAAAAAAAGAGAGAGAAAAGGGATTGAAGTTTGAAGGGGAGAGAGAGAGAGAGATTAGGTGGGATTTTGTTTTGGAAGGAGTAATGGGAATGGACAAAAGAGGAGGGTTGAAAGAGAGGTAGAAATAAAAGGGGAGAAACACGCTCTGTGGATGCGCGTGAGGAATTATTTGGGGATGTGATGTGGGACCCAACCCAACCGGTGAACCACACACCGGCGTGCCTTTTGTCTCCACAGTCCACACCAATGACTTCCCTCTCATATCAAAACACGTCATTAAGCATGATTTATTTATCGTTGGTTAATTTTTGGGAATATATATTTTTTTTCTTGCTGGCAGTTACTGGGAATAAATTAAAATAAAGAACTTTCAAGCAATAAATATATAAAGAAATAAAGAACTTTATTAATGAGTATAAAAGCACTGATTTTTTTTTAATACTATGCAGCTTCAAAGTGGTTCATTCTCAAGTCTAAACTCAATCCCATTCAATTTCATGTTGTTTAACTTAATAATTTTTTTTTTATTAAAACTACCGATTCAGTTATATAATATATTAAAATATTTTCAGAGTGAAAAAATATATTAAATTACTTTTAAAGTGGTTAAAAATATAGCATGGTAGTAATTTCATATTTGAATTCATTAGAGAAAGTGTAGTGTTAAAATCTCGCACTTCATATTCAAAATAAACATTTTTCAAGTTTAATAATATTTAAATAAAAATATTGTACCAGAATAAGTTATATGGACTCTTCAAAAGAATAAATTTATCAAAAAAGTGTGTGGATTTCAAGATTTTTTTTTGTTTTTTTGAGAAGTATGGATTTCATTAAATTTAATGACAATCTATAATCCAAAACCACGCACAATTATTTGCGTAATTGTTTCCATCATCATTAAGAATTTTAAATAAAAAAGTTACTAGAAAATGACATGTAAAGCCTCAAAGAGATAATTAAAGAGAGATCCGGTAAAAACGCGATTAGCTAAAAGAATGCCGGATCTTCCTTTAAACTGTCATGTGGCTTTTGAAAAAGTTAGGATGACCTTTCCAAATGGAAGAACGACCACCACGCGCCCTCTTTCCACCTCTCTTGTTCCGCCACGCGCGGACTTTGCTGCCTTTTCTTCAACTTTCTCCCCTACATTTTCCATTATCCACATGTGTATCCAAATTCCAAAATTTTCTTTTTTGAGGAAAAATTCCAAATATTTATCTACCACGTTTTGTGTAAGAAATTGTCTTTCTTTTGGCGAGGAGAAAAGAAATTTTGTTACTTTCACGTTTCATCACTTTTTAGGAGAGTGGATGAAAGCTTATAAAGATATTTGCGATGAAAAATTATTAGTACCGTTGATGCAAAGCTTATAAAGGACAACTCTAACTTGTAAAATGGCTTAAACAATCATCATAATCACTAGCAACGTGGAATACTTGTGTATTTATGTATGTATAACATATATCTAAATAACTATAAATTAGCAAATATAAAGTATGAATTTTTAAGTACTCAAAGGATAGTCAGGTTAATCAGTTTGCATTTTACAGCTTTACGTAAAGTCAATATTCTCAAGAAGGTGGCATAAATTTTGCCAATTTAATAAATTATTTATGTTACATAAATCTAAGCTCGTTCGACCCTAATGTACCCTTGTTCTCGCCTAGCAGGTTGAGTACTTTACTACTTTATTATCTTAAAAACATGCATCTATATTACGTATAGAATTATTAGGGCGAACAAAACAAAAAGAAAGAAAAATATTTCCTCTCCTGTTTTAACGCATAAATTATTCACGTAAGTCAATTTCATCTAGCTTAAGACTTCCTATAATTATTTCGTATAGAATTATTAGGGCGAACAAAAAAAAAAAAAAGAAAGAAAAATATTTCCTCTCCTGTTTTAACGCGTAAATTATTCACGCAAGTCAATTTCATCTAGCTTAAGACTTGCTGTAATTATTACGTATCATTGGATTTTTGAAAGTGTAATACGGTGCATGCACTAAAATACACGTCATATTATTTTAATGGAGATAATTAACCTAATATGCATGTGTATATGTGTATTAATTCAAGGAGAGGGGAGACCATTACAAGATTTTAACAATATAATAAAAAAAGTGTATAGTTTTGGTTGATCAACAAACACTAAAAAAGAAAGGAAATTAGATGTATCAGTGATTATTTATATGAATAATACAAGTCGAAGGAAAGAAATAGAAGAGAGGGTAGAATTGGACAATGAGAAGGGGACGAGGAGGACAGGCAGAATGCATTGGGGGAGCTGCCGTTGGGTGAGTGGTTGATAACAAAAGAGAAAGAACAATGCTATTCATTTATTTTTGTTTTTATTTTTTAAAGAAAAGAATAATGCTTATTTACGACTACAAAAGAGAAATTGTTTATGTTAAGAAAAAAAAAAATGAACCTGATTAAAAAAAAAAAAAAAAAAAAAAAAAAGCTACTATAAGATGTGTGAAGCTTCACCTTCACGAGATGGGTTTTGTGGGCGTTGGGATTAATGTTAGGGGAATAAGAGCATGACCCATTTTTCAGTTGGGATTTTTCCTGCTTTGTGGAATCTATTCTGAGGCTCTCTTTTTTACCAGTTCTGACAGCCCCTCCCTCTCTCTCTCTCTCTCTCTCTGCCCTAATATTCCTTCTGATACCAGCTAGGCTAGACCTTGGGATGTTCCACTGCTTTTGTTTTCGTATGTAATTTCAGAAATGCTTCACGGATCAAAATAAATTATTTCAAATTCCTCTTTTTTCCCTTTTTTTTCTCTCCCCAAGTAACTAATTATTAAAATTTTGTTCATTTCACCGATTTAAATTTTTAGTTTTAAATTTTTACAGTAAAAAGTTCTAAGAAAATGTCACATTTAACTTTTTCTACTACAGCGAAAAGCTCGCAGAAAATGTCACATCTCAGTTCAAATTAAAAATTTAAATCCGCGAAGTGAACGAAGCCTAACTATTCAAACCAATTCCATTTGCACTTAGATTCCACTCATCATGTGTTCCATAGTAAAATATTTTTTTATAAAAAAAAACTACAGTACGCATGTATACTATAGTTTTAAATTATTTGATTTTCATTAGGAATAATCAATTAAACTTATATTTCTTTTGTTATGATATGATTTTGGTGTAATCTATATTAAATATCTACTCAAAACTCACAGCCATTTTCAATTGGTGAGTTATCTTAGATCTCGTTCATTTTACCGATTCGAGTTTAGAATTTGAGTTTTGTTACAGTAAAAATTTCTCAGAAACAATCACATCTAACTTTTTTGTTATAATAAAAGCTCTCATATAAAGTTATATCTCAACTCGAATTAAAAACTTAAATTAGTGAATTAAACGACCCCTTAATTTAAAGCATAATGTATATACAGACTATATAGACTTTTTCTTCAGTCATTTCGGAGGACTGTGTCTCTAATATAATTTGTTTGTAGTTATGTTAATGATAATTATTAAATATAACATCAAAGAGATATAACAACATATGAGTGTATATATATATATATATATATATACGTACACTTTTTCTTTAACCAATATGCAATGAATATGGGATGTTTTGGTCTGACCGAGGAAGGGTAAAAAAAATAAAATAAAATAAAAGAAACAGTGGCGAAGTTATAATGCAGAAATGTGGATTATGGGGGTATGTTTTTTGGGCGGGTTTCCCAAATCATTCTCTGTGCAAATTAGGCCAAAGAGAAAGAGAGAGAGAGAGATTTTGTTGTACAATTTCATCGCACCAAGGGAACATCCTCTAGTGGCCTTGGGCGTGCCGGCGTGCCCCTCGCTAATGCTGCTGCTTAATGCTTTGCCACCGCACTTTTTTTTTTTTTTTTTTTTCCCTTTTTCAACTGCTCTTTTACATGCCTTCTCTCAATGCTGTCATCAACTGTTTTATTTGCAACTTGAAAGGCGGTTAAACAAAGCTTTTTACACGCCAGTACCTCTTCTCTGATGCTTTTCTCCATAAAAATGGTTTCTTTACTAACATTAGCATATATAATATATACATATATATATATATATACACGTGTATTGGATTAAAGCTGAATGCGTTGCTACTACGCCATTGAGATTTGAGATCATACTACTAGCTACTGGAAAAGCATGTATATGAGTTTGCAATAAATTTAGATCACATATGGGATTTTTGTTTTGGGACGTTTACGACTTTATTATTTATTCTTTTTGAACTGCATGATCGAACTCGCACCCGTTTCAAACTCCCACTTGATCACATCTTATCGTTTTTAGGTCAAACCAAGATGTGGCCACTTTTAAGGCCCGTTTAGTTCGTTGATTCGAGTTGATATGTGACTTTATATGAGAACTTTTTACTGTAGTAAAAAAGTTATATGTTACTGTTTTTTAAAACTTTTTACTGTAGTAAAACTCGAATTCTAAACTCAAATCGGTAAAGTGAACGGGACTTAATATAGCAAGAAACACCTAGGTTGATTTTATTAGCTACCAAAGACCATATATGGCAGTAGAGTATATACAGATTACAAAATCAGAAAATGGTCATCTCATATAGCAAGTTAATTAGAATACTTCTACAGCCAAGCTAAGCTCTCTGCTGTGAAAATTGAAGGTATTCCTCCTACGGAAATGCTCTGTATATCTAGAATGATGGAAGCCTAACAACAAACATGACCAACACTTTAAGAAGTAGAATACAGGCAAATTTGTAATTGTAGTTGTAGTAGTTTACCTGCCTGATATTGCGTAACATTATAAAATACGATGGCCCTCAGCCACAAAATTAGTTGGAGGGCCCATTTAGAGAGAGCTTCAAAGAGAGAATTTTATAACTGCCCCTCAAAATAGTACAACAAATTATTATTAACCCTTAAAGATTGCCCCTTTTATTTCTATCATTTTAGAATAGATCTAGTCAAATATTAGTCAAAAACCTAATATATTAGATTACCAAAATACCCTTAAAGTAAATTGCTAATTTACAAAATGCCGGGTGCCTTCGACCGGTGGCACCGGCGGGTCTCTGATGGCCGTCCGGCGATCTCCATTCCGCTTGGCGTGCCTCTGCGTGACCGTCCGACAGCTTTTTTGACGGATCTCCGGCGGCCGCCCGGCGTGTCTCCGACAACGGTTATAATCTGCCAGACTATGACCCATAGTCTGTCAGGTTACACCGGCCGACGGGTTTACAATCGCACCGGACATAGTTTGTCTGATTATAATCCATAGAATGTCAGACTATGATTCATAGTCTGTCAAACTATGATTCATAGTATGACAAGTTACGCCGGTCACGGGCCATAATCTGTGAGGCTATGACCCATAATTTGTCAGACTATGACCCATAGTTTAACAAGTTACTCCAGCCACCAAGCATAGTTTCCCAGACTATGACTCATAGTCTATCAAATTATGATCCATAATCTGTCAGGTTATGTTTCTATTTTCAATTAAAATATGATTGAACATCTTCGATCGCTGACATCGGTAGTCGAAAGGAATCTACCAAATTGATCCAAAAAATAACAAAAATAAAACACAACAAAATGACAACAAAATGACAACAAATCCATATTACAAAAGTTCCAAACATCTCATAACATCTCAAGGGAAAAACATGAATTTTGTGTACAAATCTTCATTAAATGAGCAAAAACCAAGTATTTTTACTTTGTAATCTTGATAAAAAAAAAAAAAAGATCAAAATCGGGTTTGCTGCACATATTCCACATGGATGATAGGATTCTTCACCTTTCTTTTCCTTGGGTTACTAAGTAAGATGAAACAGAAAACTCTGCTGCAACTTTAATTCTTGCATCATCATCATCATGATAAATAAACACTCTAGGGCAGCAAGGCACAGATGCATATAAAACACAAAGATACTTCGGTTTCACTACCCAAAGATCGCAGGCTCAGGCCGAGCAATGCAGCCACCAAGTTGAAGATAGTCAAGATATCATTTAGCATTAATCCATGTTGTAGAGGAAGATTGATGTCTAAATACCCATCAACACTTTTCTCCATCCCATGAAAGGGTACTAATCTTTACATCGAGGATCCATGTTCACTACCCCCCTAAATTGTTTCAATCATAATAAGTCTGTTTGGGTGGAGGATTCGTTCTCTGATTCGAATCATGATTCATGATTCGTTATAGTATTTTTTCTCATAAAAAATACACGTAAATCGAAAATAGTTCTAATCTTAAAGTTTTAATCTATGTACCAAACGGGCTAGTCGTTCATAAAAATCACAAGCCCAAAAAGGGAAACTAATAGAAATCTAAGAGGCAAAATCACAATATAAACCGAATTATCGTACATGCTATTCTACTGCTATTAATCTTATCACAAAATTACCTACATTTGATGAGTGACCAAAGTCATTATATCTGCCTCAACTACCAATCATTAACCCAGAAGAACATAGATAACTAAAAATAAATAAATACTCGTTCAAAAATACATTTTAAAAGTGTTAAGACTGTTCAATTCAATTTAAACAAAAAATATATTCAAACTAAACTTAAATATATTCAAACTACATGCTTACTAAACTTAAATTAAACTTGAATTGATAGCCATCGTTTAAATTAAGTTGAACTATAAACAAACGGATGCGTAATTAACTCGAAATGAAAACGTCAACAATTCCGCTAGACGGGAGAGGAGAGGGACACTAGTCAATTCGAAGTTTCCATACACGA